TAAAATATAATATAATACAATATATATCTTCTATAAATATCACACATCAATTTTACGCACTATCGATAGACGATAGAAAACGAGAGTTCGAAAGAGATAATTAAGAAACCCAGCCCAAAAAGAGCCACCCTAATGAACACAGAGGGCAGCAGATGCTTTCGATATGAACTCTCCAGCATTTCTCTCGTTCTCACAATCGCTCTCTCTCTCTTTCTCTCTCTCTGTCTCTCTCTTTATCTCTTGGAGCTATCGAAAATCGATGACACTTGAGCTGTGTCCAGTGTGAAAAACTAGAAAATTTATCGGACATAGGCTCGGGTGGCGCTTCCACTCTACGCGCGCGTGTGTGTGGGTGGAAGGGGGAAGGTCTAGGCTGGGGTTACGGCTTGTGGGGTCATGTGTCTTTGGTCAAGGCTAGAGTGCTTAGAATCCTTGCAAATGAATGGCTACGCATTGATCTAATGAGCTGTATTTACATTTCAAAGCAGCTGTAGCAGCAGCTGAAATGGGAGCAGCTGAAAGAGAATGAGAATTGTAGAGCTGAAGTATCCGAGAATTGCGTGTGTGTGTGTGCGGGTGTGTGTGTGTGCGGGTGTGTGTGTGTGCGGGTGTGAGGCTGTGGAAAGGAACGTTGGACAAGGGGACGATTGCATGCGATTTGTTTTATGGCCGGGCATGCACATTAAACGCGCAGTTAATCACACGCAATGGGCGTGGCCAGGCGCCTAGGCTCAGGGCAGAGCATACCCGGCGACAAATCAAATTGATTCTGCAGTGCGCTTAATACACTGCACAAAGCGAGGCAACCACAAGCTGGAGCAGGACGGCGGCTGTGGCAGTCAAGGAAGTGAGTGTTGGAAAATGCCATTGGCTGGAAATGTTCTCTGAGAGTTGAGTGTTGGCTAACGCAAGGATTTCAAAAAATCATCTATGTTTCGTATTCCCAGAATGTTATATAAAATTTGAGTGTTGGTTAACGCTAGAAACTGCAAATTTCTTTTGACTATTAACTGCTGGTTAACGCTGTAATTTAGTTATGTTATGTATGAATTGAGTGTTGGCTGGCGTTTAAATTTCCATGAGTAAATTAAGTATTGATTAACGCTTCAATATCGAGATGTTCTCGGAAAAGTGTTGACTAACACTGTAATCATGAAATCATGTAGGAGAATTAAATTGTATTGAAGCATTGACTGTTGATTGACGCTTTAGTTTAGATATATTATGCTAGAATTGAGTGTTGGGTAACGATATAAATTGTCTCTGAGAATTTAGTGCTGGTTAACACTAAAATATCCAAATATATTCTGTGAATTGATTGGTTGATTTAAAGACCTAGTGTTGGCTAGTGACATCATTCTGAGGAGCTATCGTAGCATTAAGTGTTGGATAACGTTTTGATTCTGAAATAGTTCTTAGTGAGCATAGCGCAATAATCTAGAAGTGTTTTTTAAGATTCGCATAGTAGTTAAGACTAAAATGAACAATTAAGAACTGTTTTAGAATTCAGTGTTGGTCAATGCCATAGTTCGGACCTTTTGACCAGCAATACTGGCGCAAAGTTAACCCACATAGATAAACGAGAGCTACCTATCCAGCTTAGTCTATCTTCGAGTGAAACTTATGAACTATTGTTGAAATGCCTTCACTTTGCTAGGGTATCTGAGCTGCGGTTTGATCGTCAAACTGTTTCTTTCTGTTTCTTACTTTTTTGTTGGACGTTTTTTGCTGTTGCTGTTATTGCTGGCGCTGCTGTCGTTTGGGGCTTTAATGCAGCATTATTAAATCACTTTTATTGCCATTGAAATGTGCAAAAGTTTTTGTGCGTTGCCGAGCTGCCGCGCCCACCACACCCCCATGCCAACCAAGGGGCTGTACTATGTGGCGTATGCGTAATATGAGCGGCAAAGCGTTTCTCATATTTTGTGGCTGTTGGCGGGCAGCTAGGCGACTCGAATCAACTCATTGACAGTCACAAAGAGAGAGGGAGAGTGGGGGAGAGAGAGAGAGAGAGAGAGAGAGAGAGAGAGAGAGAGAGAGAGAGAGAGGTAGACAAAGAGGCAAGTGAATTATAGATTTGTTGTCTGTAGCTGCTGCTGCTGCTTCAAGCCATTGGCATGTGTGACTGACAAGACAGCTAAACAACAACAACAACGACAAAGACAGCAGCAGCAACAACAATAACAATAACAAATAAACAGAACAACACACAATGAGTCTTTGGCCACTTGAGGCGCCACAAACAAGACACGACACGAACAACTTGATAGCGAAGCAGAAAAAGCGTCTGCCTCGCAGCCATGTAAGGCCTAGCATTGCGTGGGTGTACACACACACACACACACACGCACACATGTGCTTCTGTTTGTGCGGGCCTTGGCATCACAGAGCAAAAACAAATCTGAGGCCAGTCAAACTCTCGAATGGCAAATGACGTCAGTTGAATTCAAAAAACAGCATTTGCTACAATTCAATTTGGTGCTCAGCAAAAGTACAAAGAATTTCATAAGTTCTAAACGCTCGAAATGGGGGCGGGGAGGGGTTGAAGCAGAAGTGAAGCGAAGGGCGGAAGGGGAATGGGACGACCCATACGGCACAGGGGGTTGGACAATGCAGAAATATCAATATTGCGAGCATATTTCAATCGAAGCAACAATAAATTGGCTGCTGGGCCAGCATATGCGTTCATTAGGCATTATGAAACGCAAAGAGAGAGAGGGAGACAGAGAGAGGGCAGCAAGTTGGACATAGAGATAAAGAACCAATCGAAATTGTCCTTTGAGCTAACTTTATGAACATTGCTGCCTCGGCTCCTGCCACAATGGGCAAATTTTTGCTTTAATTTTGCATTGACCTCACATAGGCTCTGTCGTCCTTCCTGTTGACTTTCCTCCTCTTCCCTGGCCCTTTGATATTCAATAAAACTTGCAGATTCCCCGACTGATTAGGTTTAGCTTCATCAAGCTGTTGATACAACCTCAACTCGGTTCCTTGAAGTCTTTCTATTCCCATTCAAGGTCTAATGTCTCTGCTCTCCCACTTTAGCTTGATCCGATTTGGAGTACCGTTAGCTCAACTCTTCTTATTTTTCTTCTTTTGCAATGCCCATTATTTTTGTATTTCTGGGTTCAATATTAATTTCTGTAAATTCCTAAATAAATTTGTAAATTTTTTACTTTTAGTTAGCTCTCAATTGGGTTGACTTTGAATGCTTAGAGAGCTGATTTGGGTCATATTGCTATTGATGGACTCATATCTGATATTATATGTGACTTAAGAATCAAATTTCGGTCTCTTTAACATGAGTTAATTTCCACTCCTCTGCTACTTCCTTATATAAAAGATTAGTTTAACCTGCCTATAGCCAATTTCTTCTATGCCAATCGATAGTTAAGCGATAGTATTCAGCAACAGAAAAAGATACGGCTGTTATCGATAGTAATTCGCTATTTGCTCTTGCGGTCGATTCACAAAACTGATCGATAAATAAAAGCACACAGTGTTATCGATAGTTAGCGCTATTGATATTCGCCTTACGCAACTCGTTCAACTCAACATTCGATAGTTAGTTAGCAGCGCTCCAATGGCAACAGGCAATATCTAGTAGGCCTATCGATAGGCATTCGATAGTCGCATCCAAGTGGAGCTCTAAAGCAGGCCAGGAACGAGCTGCTCAGTTGCCTGCTGCCAAGCTAAAGTCTAAACAACATTCAGACTCGAGCATTCGCACACACGCATAGCTCTCTCTCTCTCTCTCTCTTTCTCTTTCTCTGTCGCTATCTACCTCTCTCTTGGGCACCGTCACTCACTCACTCTCTCTCAAGCAGAACAGAACAACAACAACAACAACAACAGAAAACAGTTCACAAAACTCAAAAAAAAAAACACAAAACAAAAAAAAGAAAACGCAAAATAAACCATATTTTTTATATATTTTGTATTCCGGAGCAGTGAACAGATATCTTCCTCGCCAGGATGCCGACCATGATGCCGTGCGTGACAGGAACGGGGCGGCCGCTGCACGCGGACTGCTACGACCGGCGGGGCCGCAAGATTGGGCTAGAGCTGGAGAAGCCCATCCGGCTGCCCAAGCCGGAGCCAAGCGAGTTCGCCTTCAAGCGGCAGCCGCGCGTCTCCATCTGCGAGAAGCAGCTGGCCGAGGGACTGCTGCAGCAGCGCGAGGGCTTTCTGATGGCCGGCAAGAGGTCGAGCAAGCACCGACTGCAGCCGGGCCTGCCGCCGGGCACGCTGCCGCCGGGCACAGTGGCGCCGAAGCCGGTGCGGCTCTTTCCGCAGCCGAAGCCGACGAAACGCAAGGGACTCGGCGGCGAGGCCACCTACTTCCATGTGCAAGGCCGGCCATGGGAGTCGATCGGGTATGCGACTCTGGAGAAGGAGCATGTCGATCGCTTGAAATCATCGCGCCCGCCCACCGCCGAGGAGATCCAGGCCGAGGTGGAGCAGCTCAGGGAGGAGGAGCGCCAAAACAAGGAGGAGGAGAATCGCATGCGCAGCTACTACCATGAGATCGACGAGGCGCGACGCGAACGGGAGCTCGAGGTCCAGCGACAGATCGATGCTGAGGCCGAGGACGACGATGCAGAGAAGGCAGCGGAGGCGAAGCGTCTGATGGTGTTGCACAAGTCACTGCAGGTGGGTGAGGCTAGCAGAGTGATCGATAGAATGCAATTATCGATAACACTAATATACGACCGTGAACGACTGTAGTAATCGATAGCACTGATATATAATAATGATCGATAATAGCTTTAGATAACATTAATATATATTAGTGATCGATAACAAGAATCGATAACAGCAAGCGATATCAGTAATCGACTATAGTTGATAGCAGTCTCACCGATAGCAGTTTTCCATAGCTGTAATCGATCAATCTATTAAGTAGAAGCAGATAACTTTGCCAACTATTGATAACTATTGTCGATAAATATCAATTGTGTTATCACCTAGAAAATTTTGTATTGATAACATAATGAACGATGACCGATATAGGTTAAAAATCATATATTCATATTAATGAATAATCGATTAATATAAATTGTTAACAGCTATCGATCATCAACGATTAAATCCGATAACAAAAATCGAAGCTCGGGGGAGTAAACTATATCTGTACCTATTGAAATAGTTTACTCCTACAAGAAACAAGCGATAAATATACATTTTTAACAGTTATCGATTATCAATCATAGAGTCGATAATTGTAAAATTCTTGTTATTTATTAATCAACAATGAGAATCAATAGTATTTATACAAAATAGAAACTGTTAAGGATTATGCGATTAGTTTTGATATGTTATCGATTATTAATCAATAGAATCGATACTAGTATGAATTTTTTTTATATATCAATAACATTAATAGATGCACTGATCAACACTGAGAATCAATAGAAATAGAAATCGCAATCGATATTTTACATCATTATAACCTATCGATATTTATCGCTGTTGTCGCATTGCAGGCACGCCATGAAAACGATGTGCGCGTCCAGTCGGCGATTCGCTCGATTGGCGCTGCCAAATGCAGCGCCATGTGGACGGCACAGATCGAGGAGCGCGCGATGATGGAGCGCCTGCAGGCCGAGCATGACGTGGAGCAGGCGCGCAAGGACACGGCGTTCAACGAATCCAAATGGGGCTCGGCGGCGGAACAGGATCTGGCGGCGCACAACAAGCGCCTTGCATTCGGCAATGCTGTGCGCCAGCAGATCAACGACCATCGCCAGCTGCGCCATATGGCCGAGGAGCGCCGGCGCGAGGAGTCGCGCCAGATGCGCGATGCCTACGAGGAGTACAAACGCTTCCAGGCGGACCACGCGGTGGCCACCGGCCAGCGGAAGAAGAACTATCGCAACGAGCTCTTCCACTACATCAAGCTGCACCAGGACTTTGGGCGCATCCTGTGCGAGCAGGAGCAGCGCGACGAGCTGCGCGCCAACAAATACGTCATCGAGAAGGAGGCGAAGCGCCTGGAGCAGCGCCAGCAGAAGGCGGCCATCGATCTGGCCAAGGAGCGCAAGCGCGAGGCCCTCTACGTGATGCAGCAAAAGATTCTCGATGCCAACGACAATCGCGAGGAGATGCGCCTCCTGGCCGAGCACGAGCGGCTCGAGCGCAAGTACCGCCTGGAGGAGCGCCAGGCGGTGGAGAAGCGCCGCCGGCAGGCGGAAGAGCTGCGCCAGGGCAATCTGGAGGCGATGGCCAACATCAATAAGCTGCGCGCCTGCTACTATGCGCAGCGCCAGCGCGAAATGGACGAGATGAAGGTGGACCGGGCCAAGTACGAGGAGCAGCAGAAGATCGAGCTGGAGAAGAAGCTCGGCCGCAAGCTCGATCTGCACGAGGGCGTCACCGCCCAAATGGAGGAGCACGAGCGCGCCCGTCGTCGCGAGATCGAGAACGAGCGCCTCGAGAGCGAGAAGGCGCGCGCCATGGAGAAGCAGCGCCAGAAGGAGATCGACATGGTCATCAGCGTCAAGCTGAACGAGCTGGCCAAGAAGAAGTGCATGCCGCAGGCGGCGCTCCAGTCGCTGACCGGTCGTGTCACGCACGCGCGCGAGCCCAAGCTATCCGCTCACTTCCTGCCATAGAGAGGCGGCGTGCCGTGGTGGGTGGGCGTGGCAAATGTTTGGACGTATTCTGGTTCTGCTTGCGTTTTTTCTTGTTTTGTGTTCGATGTGATTGTGATTGGAGTGACAGCTCTTAAAGGGGCCACACACACACACATACAGCTACCTACTCACACACACACACACACACACACAGCAGGCTGGCATTAAAACTTGAAGCATACTTTGTGGCGACATTTCCTTCTTTTCTTTTCTCTTCTGTTCATTCTTTTCCTGCTGCGGGGGCGCTTGTTAGCTGTCAACTGCAGACTTGTTAACTCAACAAGTTTTACAAAACACACACACACACACATACACACACTCGCACACACTCACACATGCAACTCATTAAAAACAAAATCGAAAACTAAAGCAAATGTCGAGTGCATAAACCAAATGATAAGACCCAGACGAAACCCAAACAAGTCCTGCGGAATCAGTTGAGGCTTTGATTGCCAAACAGAGAGAGAGAGAGAGAGAGAGAGAGAGAGAGAGAGAGAAGGAGAGAGGGAGAGAGAGCAAGAGAGCAGTATAACTTTGATGGGGGCGGAATTCCTGGTATATTTTCTGGGGTTTTTTCGGCTGGTAATTTGTTTAGCCTTCACCTAAGCCTGTCAGCTGCTGCTCCTGCTGCTCCTGCCGCTGCTCCTGCTGTTGCTCCTGCTGCTGCTAAGGCAAATCTCAAGTCTTTGATAAATTGAATTGGATTTGTCGCACTGCTGGAGAGACAAAGCGCAGCTTTCTAGATAGATTATGGACAATATATAACTAGAGATTATGGACACTGTGTGAGAGGGAGAGAGAGAGATAGCTAGGAGCGACAGAAGTTAAGTGACCCTTAAGACCTTTTGGTTTAGTTCACATATGCAATCAAACTAAGCTCTAAACTAGTTTATCGATTACGGTCAGTTATCGATACACGGAGAAATTGCAATAAAAACAAAGCTTAAAATTTTCGTTATAAATAAGCCAAAGAATTATAAGAATTTCTAGTTATCTCTGTTAGATCTTAGAGATCGTACGCATTTAGGGATGAGAGCGAGATAGCTATACAATAGACATTGGGCAGGCCATTTGAACAGGGTCGTTATGAATGACAATATGCAAAGCGACTTGAAATACTCTTACAAGCAAAGCATATTCCGAAATTTTCATTTGAATCCAGTAATCTGATATACTCTATGCAAACTGAGTCGCTATAACCGTATTCCACTGTAGTTTACTTTTTGAAGAAAGCGCAGTAACTTCAGCTGCTTTTGTCCTAAGAGACTCATGAGACTGCTTGAAGCTCTCCCCCTCCTCTCCAGTCTGTTAAGTCTATGAAACTAGCATTTCCGGCGCTCTATTTGGCTGTATTCGCATTCGGAAAATGCGAATTTATAAACTCTCGCAGTTGTCAGCACAAATGAGTTGTGAGTCCACTACGATAAGGGAGGGGGGGTGGAGGGAGTGGGAGAGGGAGGGGCTGCTAGAGAGCAGCTCTGTGAATCAAAGTGAATGCATGCAGTTCGCAGTTTGTAGTCGGTGCACAATTCATGAATATACATCAAAGGCGGGCAATGCCAATTTCGATACGCTTCGGGCTTTGAATGCGAAACAGATGCGAGCGAGACAGTAAGAGAGTGAGAAAGACAGAGAGATAGAGAGAGATGTGTAGCGAGTGGGTGCAGAGACTTGGGAATTGTGATTCAGCTTTCATTTCAGTTTGGGTTCATTGCTTCGCTTGTTGTTATTGTTGTTGTTGTTGTTGTTGTTGTTGCTTAATGTTCTGGAAGAATATTACCCTTGACTGATTTGAGGCAAGTGCAACTCATGCCGCAGCAATCGCAGCTGAGTCTGAGCTGCGGCTCAAGCATAAGCATAAGCGAGACCGAGACAGAGAGAGAGAGAGAGAGTGAGAGGAGGGGAGGGGGGAGTCAGTGAGAGTCCGAATGCTGTCTTGAATTTTGCTCTTTTCCATTGTAAATATCTTGTAATACTCTGTTGCTAGGCGAGCGCTTGGCAGCAAAGCTCCGTTACCTAGACAGAAATATATATAATATATATACATAGGTATATATAGGTATATATAGATATATGCATATATAAATTTATCTGTCTGCTGTTCCTAGAATATATTATGCAACTGCAGACGCAAATAAAAATCTCATTCGAGATTACTACAGTTTGAGCGGCACGTATTAAGCTAGACAGTTTAAGCAGCACTTTGGACAGCATTAGAGAGCAGCTCTTTACAGTTTGGGAATCTTGTATATCTTGTATCTTGAACCTTATTTTGATAGTTTGAGAGCCATGCACGCATACGGAATTTCATTTGTACAGTTTGAGAGTCACGCATTTAAATGTAATTTAACTTGTACAGTTTGAGAGGCACAGAGCAAACATGATTTTCATTTGTACAGCTTGAGAAGAATATCCTAGAAATACATTTCATTTTCACAGTTTGAGAGTCACCGTGGAATTTCGTCTGCACAGTTTGAGAGTCATAGTTTTAATTGATAAATATGTAAAGTCTCAGATATTCGGCTCAATTGCTCCGTTACAGTTGCAGAGGCGCTGCTTTGGCAGTTTGAGAGTCACTGCAGTTTGCAGTTTGCAGTTTGAGAGTCACTGGTATATTTGGCTGCAATGATGAAGCAGTTATGAGTCGCCAGAGCATCTTGTGCAAGGGTGACTATGTGTGTGTGTGTTTGTGTGTGTTGTTGCTGTTGTTGTTGCTATTGCTTATGTTGCTGCTGTTGGTCTTCTTCATATAATAGCAATGCTAAACTGTCATGGCAGCTATCATAAACACACACATAGGCACACACAGACATACACACACGCACACACACACACATATGCAACATAATTGGCAGCAAGAGCTATTCTACACCAAAAAGGCGAAGCTAACTTTTTAACGCGCCATTGTGACATGCGTGTGTGTGTGTGTGTGTGTGTGTGTGTGCGTAAGTGTGTTAGTGTATGTGTGTCTCTGTATTAGTGTACAACAAGCCAACCACTGAACCCAATCAGCAAAGCAACATCAAACAACAACAACATAACGGCAAGAATGAGAAATAGCAGAAGAAGAAGAAGAATAAGCAGAAGAGGACCAGCAGCTGCGCTGGCCAGCAGCAATTCAGCAATGCTTCACACACGCACACACACACACACATAGAGAGAGAAGCCGGAATATGGTATGTATATAGTAAAAACAAACAATAGTAAAACTGATTAAGTCGGGGGCAAAACCACATCAAGCTAAACGATGATGAAGAAAAGACCAAAAGATTACGAGCATTGAGAAAGGAGAGAGAGAGAGAGAGTGAGGGGGGAAGAGTAGCGAGGAGCGGGGTGAACGGCAAGGACTAGTAAGGACTTGCGGACTTTGGCCAGGGATAGACGCGAATGTGAGCCACGCGGACTTAACTAAACATACACCAATACACACGCACACGCACACACACACACACACACATACAGAGAGAGTGGCGAACAATCGATGGCAGCTCACTCGCAACAGGAGCTGAGCAAGTGGAAGGAAATGAAAAATAATGCGGGTCTTAGGGCTATGAGAAAGTGCGTGTGTGTGTGTGAGTGTGTGTGTGAGTGTGTGTGTGTGTGTGTGTGATTGTGTGTATGAAATGAAAACGAAGCAAAAGTTGAGGGTTGAGGCAAAGAAAGCAAAAAATACGCACATCTATCTATACATATGTATGTATGTATGTATGTATGTATATGTATATCTATATGTATATTAAGTTAAGAAAAGAAGCAAACAGTAAATGCTACCACATATCGAATAATTGAAAGGGATTCACACAAGCTGCACAAAATGAGTCGAGTGTGCAGCAGCAGCAGCAGCAGCGGGTATGCTCGACTAATAAATAGCCTGGAAGCGAAGGCAACCAAAGAGATCAACTTGAAGCCATTTGTTAGGGAGAGTGAGAGTGAGAGGGAGACAGAGAGCGATAGATGTAGATAGAAAGAAAGCGAGGAAAGGTGAAGATAGAGAGACGGAGAGAAACAGAGGAAGAGAGAGCGAGAGAGAGAGAGAGAGAGAGACAAAAAGAGAGTGGGAGAGAGACAGAGAGAGATATATACAGACGGGCAGAAAGAGAGAAATGGAGACAGATAGAGGGAAAGCGAGAGACGGGATGAGAGAGAGGGAGATACAGAGAGAGAAAGAGAGAGAGAGAGAGAGAGAGCGAGAGAGCTAGACAAAGAGAATCAGATGGGAGGTAGAGAGAATGGAAGGTAGAAGAGAGAGAAAGAGAGAATGAGACAGCGAGAGAAAGAGAGAATGAGACAGCGAGAGAGAGAGAGAGCAGAATAAGTAGACAGAAAGAAAGAAAGAGGAGGTAGAGATAAAGAGAGAGGGAGAGAGAGATAGAGGGAGAGAGACAGAGCAAGAGAGACAGAGCAAGAGAGACAGAGACAGAGAGAGAAAGCGAGGTAAAAAAAGAGAAAGAGGTATGAGAGAGAGAGAGAGTGTGGGAGATAGAAAAGAAGAGAGCGAGAGTGAGCGTAAAACAGAGCGTGAGTTTAAAATTCTATTAAAAAATATATAAAAATATTTTTAAAGTTAATTTTTCCCTGTTTATTTTATTTATTTATTTGTTTATATTTTTGTTCTTCATTTCAAGCTGTTTTCAAAATATTGTGATTATCACTAAATGGTAATGTCCAGCACTTTACTTGGCATACAGCTATACTACACGTAGTTCACTCTACATACATATGTACCTATACACACACACACACCCGCACACATATATACATCTATTTTCTGGCAGCTTCAACTTGAGGCTTGTGCATTTGCATAAATTTCGAAAAATCTCAACGAAGTTTTTAGCTTTGGCTCCAGCAGCTTCAACTTTGCAGCGACAATTTGTAAGATATGATAATAATGCGCTATCAGAGCCGCAGTATACAGAGTATACACACATACATACATACATATGTGTGTGTGGGTGTGTGCGAGTGCCCAACAATTATATACAATTTACTTTGCATAACAGTCGAGGCGAGTTGGAGCACACACAGACTTCAGTTGCCTGGCTACAAACAAAAGCCGCTTGCGGCGGCTGCAGGATTCAATGGGAATGGGGATGGTGAGGGCGGGGGTGGGAATGGGGTGGGGGTCTGGGAATTGAGCTTAAGCTAGTTAACATTTTGCTGGCATACAACGAGTGCGAGAATAGAGAAATCTGTGAAGCGAAACCGAATCATAAACACAATAACCAGAAAACAACAACAACAACAAGAACATCAACCGCAACAACAACACCAACAACAGCAGAGCGCAATGAATATGTTTTGTTGGAAAATGCCTTTAATGCTAAACAACAAGTGAACTTTGATTTGCCCAGGGAAAACTAACGAAGCTAGTGAGAGAGAGAGGGACAGATATACGTACAGAGAGCGAGAGAGATGAAAGAAATACGCCCTAATTATAGATGCATGTTCTGAAAATAAATATTGCATGTTGTACAAAAAGATATCCAACAAAAGCCAACGTTTTACCTATATAAGTACACTATATTTATGGGTGGAACAATTTGGAGTGCTCTAGTCGGCCATGACCGACTAGGCGATACCCTGAACCCTAATGGGATTAATACAAAAAATGAAATAAAATAAAATAAAATAAAATTGTACTGTCGATTATTCGTATTCCGTTATATTAAAAAAAAAAAAAAAATTCTATCCCCTTGATAGAAATTCAATCTCAATATAAAAAAAAATAAAAAATAAAAAATAAAAAAAAAAAAACAAGCTGATCCCCTTGTCATTTCGAATCATCGGGACTCTACTTTATTATGAATAAAAAAAAAATTAAAAATTTAAGTTAAAATTTGTAACTGGACAAATTATAACAAACAAACAATATTAAACAAACTATATTCAAAAAA